GTTGTTGTACCCTTACCCCATTGGGCATTATCATTTTGCCAGCAAATATGAGACGCCTCTCTGAGACCTTAAAGTGTATCTATTCTTGATCAGCATTAAGGAGGAAAAGAAGTAGGAGCCAAATGCTGATACTTGGCATAGACCCGACTTTGAGCCCCACTTTATCATACAGGTAGTTCCCTTAGTTCCCATGAAGAGTTCCCTCAGTTGACCAGAAATACAGTGAACGCTCTATTAACGAACAGTTCCCTTGGTTGACCAACATCCTGTCAAACTCTGTCAGATATTCTCCATTGGGACATAGAATATCTGCCATAGAATATCTGACAGCGTTTGTCCTGGCTAGTTAGAACTAGGAAGTTATTAATGGAGGTCTTAGATCCAAAGTTAGCATCAAGAGACAGCTTGAAAGATTCGACCTCAAGGTGGGCTAACACGATGGTCAAGTTTTGTGTGAAAAACATCGAGAATGCAACCATAAAAGTGAGCTTTGCAAATCTGATATCACATCACATCGCTTAAAGCCTGATTCCACTAGGCTCAAACTTCACATTCTGCGATTCCATTAGCAAGTGTCGGTTGTCGCTAACATATGAATGTCAAAAGTATTGCTTCTTTATATAAACAGCTGATCGATTTGATCTAATTTACCTAAGCGCCACAAAGTTTTCCATCCAAAAGTTAAATAATACGACTTCGAAAGAGGGACTCCATTAATTGGACTCTTAGCGGGATTTGGACATCCTTAAATGGGGAATTAGTAAAATTTAAAAATATATAATGTAAAGTTATCGCTTGTCTTCTTTGCTATATCAGCTGTTTGTGGTAATAATACTTTCATGTTTTACATAAAATCGATACGAAATTCGAAAAATCAGCGAATAAAATAAAACACAAATAACTCGGGGCGAAAAATGTGAAAAATGTGGTTTCTTATGGGAAAACGTGCAGGCAACATATTTCACATTAGCAAAAAATTTAAGAAATGTTGACAGCGGAATTTTGCTTTTAGATGTCTGAGCGTCGAACCAGCCAGCAGAAAGTCGCCAGTTCAAAGACGACTTTCAATTTTAGCATTATCAGCACATCTGCTATATATGTATGTACACATATTTGGAAGGGTATTGAATATTCGGCTGCTGAGAAAAATATCGCTTCTTGTTTGTCTTATTTTATTTGCATTTTATTATTATTTTTCAGCCGGCCAGACGAAGGCGCAAACGAAGACACATAAAAAATATTTTTATGCAACACTTTTACGATTTCCGTCTGGCTGCGGCTGCGGCTGCGGCTGTGACAAAAGGCTGGACCCGAAAGAACTGGCTATGGGTTATGCCCAGTGGCAGCTCCCAGCTCCCAGCATCCATCTTCCAGCTTCCATCTTGGCGAACGGCAGCTCCTTCACCTGCTTTCAATTAAATGACACTTTCCCCTTTTCTCATTACGATTGAAATGTTGTTTGCGAACTGAGCAAGGAACTGGCAATGGATGTGGGAATGGGAATGGGAATGGGAATGGGGTCTTCTCGTGGTGTTGATGTCTGACATTTGGGCGCAACGTTTCGCTCCCTTGTCTCACTTCATCAATCATTCATTTCGTTTATTTTTAGTGAAAATAATCACTTTGAGCAACATATGCGACCCGACACGAGTTTCGCATGTGTTTTCGCAAACGGGAATGGGCCGCCATGACAAAGTGTTGCGAGTTCTGGCAGAGATGCGCCTCGTCCAGCTTTAAGCAATTATCAAATGGACCCAGCCTGAAGTTAGCACGGGATATGCTATAATTTTGACTGTGAAATGACTTTATTGGTTTTTGTGGCAAATTGGGTTGGTTTTTGTGTGAAGAGCACTTTTCAAGGGGAGCCACCCCTTAAGGATCTGTGCGTGTGTGTGTGTGTGTGTGGCTGCACAAGACAAAGAGCTTGGGTTACGCAAGGTTAAGCTGGGATAATAAAGTAGTAGACAAGCCGTAAGTACCGCGTCGTTTAAATTGCCAAGCATTGCCACAAGGATCTGGCATCCAGGTAAAAGGAACTTAACAATAACACAAGTTTTTCATCGGGAAGGCATCTCCTATAGAAACCAGGCAGTTGGCAACGAATGAGGGTAGCCTTTCATGAATAAGTTGTTTAATGAAAGTCTAGGCTCGCATTTTTAAAGGTAGCCTAATGAAACTTGACATAAATCCGTCAGGCAATATGTGGAAAAAGGCCAGACTGGATCGGTATATCATATAGTTGTCGTATTGGTCGATAAGTCTTATATGAGAACCCTTCTTTCGTTTTAGTTTTATTAACTATTTTGCAAAGGAATACGTAATTATTCTGCGGGAACTTCGTCAATACCATCATGAGAATGTTTTCCATCAACAGAACATCCAACTTTCGGCAGTACCAAGAAATTCCTTGCAGGTTCGAAACAAATATTTCCTCTCTTCTTTTGTTTTTTTTTTTCTATCACATGGAGGCTCTTTTGACGCCTTCGTAATTAAGGAAGCAGCAGATGGAACCACAGATAGAGTATCCTTTCCAGTCAGAAGTAGCCTTTACAATATTATCGCCTACTTTTTTTGGGAGACAATCCAAGAGGTCCAATTTTGGCACCAAAATATTTATATACTGGAAAATGGAAATCTACTCATTTTGATCTGCACTTCTATTTAAAAATACGTTTTGAGTGCAACAAATAAAGAACCAAGTGCTGGAATCAACGGTTTCCGCCCATGTTAGTGGAAATCTTGAAGCTGAAGAATAAACTTTCGTTTATTTAACCTTTGATCCGCAGTTGCCACACAAGAACTTATCAATTAAATACTGACAAAGATCTTTAAACGTTATCGAATGTTAAACAATCGAATCGTAAACAAAAATGTTTCATACAAACGTTTTCCGCGATTTTTCCACACTTGCGGGTGGATTTTTCCGAAACCCCGTCTTAACGTGCACCGTCATCACATAAGGAAAGTACAGTGAAAATTTCAGCTTCATAGCTGAAGTTTGAGCTGTGCTCTGATCACCAATCAATCAGTCAGTCAGTCAATCAGTCAGTCAGTCAGTCAGTCAATCAGTCAGGACAATCAGTTCTATATATAGAGATGTATGTTCGTGTATGTATTATCTCGCTTTTTATCATACAGATACGAAGAAAAATAACATGGCAAGAAAATTTAATCTTTAATTCTTTAGAGTTGGGAAATCTAGATCCGATTAATCCTGTATATTATTGGGATCTAGATTTAACTCGCTTTTAGCTCGTCCGCTTTTAGCTCTCAAATTTATCAGTTATTTTATTACCTTGTTCATTCAGTTGTTGACTTTCCTTAATCCATGAATTTGAACTTATCTAAAATCGTTTTGCCTTTCCTTTCCAGCTTGCCGTCACAGTAATTTTCACAGGATAGTTCCCGTATTTATGACCGTGTATATTACCCGTATAAGTTATTCCTATGATTAACTGCAGTCGCAGATTTCACCTTTCTCTTATCTCTATACTACACAAATTGCAAGCTATGTCTGACTGTAGACCCAATTCACAAAGATATGACCAAGATTTGCACGACACACAACAGAAGGGAGACGAACTCTTTTTCCGTGGAATTACGTATATTTGTGAACGGATCTTATCTCTATGAGTTGGCAGCTATTGTAGTAATAATTTTTCATTCCCAACACCCACACACACTCACACACGCACACACGCACGCATGTTGCGGGAAAATTAGTCAACACGGTGAAACAGCTCGAGGGAAGGGGGGTTCGGAGGGGGTCGCAAGGGGTCGCGTAATTCACTTAATGCAACGCATTTCCGTTGTGCTGCGGGTTCGAATCGTTATCGCTATCTGAAAAGCCAGGCAACATGCCAACATGATTTTTATCAGGCCTACAAATGCACATAAACCTATTGTGTATATGCATTACAGTGAAAGCTCTCTTAAGCGGACAGCCGGGGTTTCAGTTCGTCAGATTGTTGTTTTCCAATGTTCTTATTTATAAGTACAAGTTCGATGTCGATATTTGATATAGTTGATAGTTAAAAATTTGTTTTAAGTGCAGGACCTATTGGGTCCCCCAATTAAGTCCTTATATTGGGTCCCCCTATTAGGTCCCCCTATTGGGTCCCCTGGACGTGCAACACCGTGCCAATTAGCCACCCATCTATCCCCCCCTGGTACAGCGCCGAGTAGATTGGCCGCTCTTCTATTCCCTAGAAATTCACATTCCATTCCATTTCGCTCTTCTTTCACCTTGGAACTTTTTTATTTTTAAGTACCAGTTTTTCGATTCAAACAGGGACAATGCGAATACTAAAAATTAAAAGAGATGTTTCGTACGAAAATTTGATTCAAATATTGGATGAATAAGTGCGAATATTGAGAGTGAACAATCTTCCGGCTAAAGCAGATTTTCACTCAAGTTGTTCGTTAGTCGAGTTTTCACTGTAAATATGTCGATAGCATAAATATGACAGGATTGGCAGCCCCGCACCGCGGACCACGGAGCGAAGTGCAATTGCAGTGCGCGCACCTCATTGAACTTTTCAGACAAACACAATTTGTCCGATAAGGAAAAAAGTCTACACGACACGAGGCGAGGCGAGGCGAGGCGAGTTGCTGGCGTAGGCGGTGCGGGGGGGCGTGGCGGCGCAACGTACGGACGGACGAACGGCGCGCACTAATGGCCACCATTAATAATTGAAAAACTGAAACAGTTGAGCATGTGAGCGAGCAGTTCGGGGGGGTGGGGTGGTTTGGGGGTCTAGGGGGAGTTTGGGATGCCAAAGCATAGCTAAGTCTTGGGGCAGCGAGGGGGAGTTGGCCGCTGGGTGGGTGACAAAAATCTATAACCAAAAAAGTTATGAATAAGCGAACGAAACGAAAACGAAGCAACGAGTGCTGCGCAGGCTGCGGCAGAGAACGAGCTGAGAGGCAGCGCCGGCAGCGGAAAGACGAAAAAAGCAACAAAAAAAAGAAAAAAAAAAAGAAATGTTAAAGCTACAAACCTGTTCTATGCTGGCATCGCTGCTGCGCCTCCCGTTGCTGTTGTTGTACATGGCGAGACCAAGGGGCTGGCGATGCTGCGGCGCTGCTGGCGACACGGCGACAATGTTGAAGCTGCTGCCGTTTCGCTTATGCTTGTTATTGTTGTTGTTGGTGTTGTTGTTGCAGCAGTGCTGGCCGCAACCAAATTGTAGGGAATCGCGTGCAAAGCGCAGTCAAGCAGCATTGGAAAATTACAACAACACAAAAATGTTGCCTTTTTCTTTGTGGCTGCGATTTTCCGACGATTTTTACAGCTGCAGCTAAAGAATCGCACGAAACGAAACTGAGACGGCGACTGCGACGGCAACGGCCACTGAGTCGTTTGGACTAACGGCAGTTATAGAGCAGAGCAGAGCAGAGCACACAGCCAGGCAAAAATATTGGAGCAAGGTGTTTCCAAACAGCGTCGACCGAGCTGCAGCTGAGCAGCGCTCAACGAGACGGCGAATTCGCTGCGTCAATCTGCGCAAAAGCAGAGCTGAGAGCTGGAGTAGGTTTGGCTCTCCTTGTTGTTGTTGTACTCTGTGTGCGTCTCCCACCACCAACGGGCGAAAAGTGGGCAAGTTAAGTCTGTCGCCTTATATTTTGTTGGGGCTGCTGCTGCTGATGTCGCTACTGCTGTTGCTTGCGCTCGCGCTCTGCCGCCTGCCTCTGTGTCAATCGAATTAAACTGAGAGCAAACTGAGTAATTGGGTTTAGATATTTTTCCACAGATAGATCGAGACAATGTTTTCTATATTTTCTTATTGTGTGCACATTTGTTAATTCAATAATTGGCTGGCTGGCTCTTGGTTTAAGCCACAGCAAAATGCAGAAGTCACATTCACTAACACACGCAAACGCACACGCACACACACACGTACGCGACAGTGTATACAAAAATCTGCACACAGTTTTAAATTTAGTTGCGTTTGAACTTCGGTTCTGGCATTGTGTGGAAATAAACCTTGAACTTAAATGTTTCGTTTCGTTTTCACTGCTATTGGATTTATTTTTTGTTTTTTTTTTCCAGCGATTTACACCTTTCTTTGTTACAATTAGTTTTATGCTTTGCTTGGTAGAGTCTCTTGCAAGCAGCGGCACAGCCTGTGCGCAGCGAAAAACTTCTGCTGCAATACACAAATTTCTTTATTTGCTGCGCGCACCACCTACCAGAAGCTGAGAAAATAATAAAATATCTACGCGACGCGCGAGACGTCCGTACGCTTCGATACTGTGAAAACGAATGAGCGAAGTTGCGGTATCGATGTTTCGATATGTATAAGAGAATTTACAAGCGATGTATTGAAATGAGTGTCAGTCCGAGCGATACTATCGATAACTATGAACTAGCTCGAATATTTGAGAGAATAAAATGAAAACTTTTTTAAATTTGCCTAGTTTTGCTTGTATAAAAAGGAAATTATTTAATGTATAGTAATAAACAATAATACGATGTGGCTTGCATAAAACCAAGGCCTGTTTGGTTCTTCGTAATCGTTCACAAATGAACCACCACGTTTTAAACGGGTAACCGTTTTAGCGGTCATCGGAACCGCTTGAATTATTTAAATTTGAAATATATTGCGAGCTATTTGTTATGCAAATGCGAATTTATACAATTCGCAGGCTTTGTACTTAAATGCTGCTGCCTTAACTAATCGCAGGCACTTAACGCCTTCCCGTTATGCAGTTAGTCACACATATTTGTTCAGCTTTGTCCCCAGCGCAACGCAGTCTCCACGCATGTGTGTGTGTGTGTGTGTTTGTTTATGCATGTGCCACACACATCGCATGGAATTTATGAGACACAATTCAAGTGCCTGAAAATCTGAATCAGCTTTCTTGTCGCCGTCGTCGTTATTCGTCTTTCTCGGTCAAGCTTTTGTATAAACAGAACAAAATTTACACAAGAAATTAGCAAATTCACAATCAAGAGTTCAAGAACAGCCAAAGAAAATAAAAACATATATGCATATAACTGACTGACTCGATTTCCGCTCAACCCGATCTCTCCACATTATGTATCTCTTATACCGTTAGACAACACTAAAACGACACTTTAGAAAATTCTAATCAGAACTGTGGAACATTTGTAAAAACAAAAATTTCTATTAAATCTCAAAAATCTTTCTGAAAATTCAATCGAGGCGTGTTTTTACAGTTTTTTGGAGTTTTACCCTTCTGGGATAAAATGCGCTAGCTAAAAGTTGTATGGGTAAAAGTTTGATATATGTACATTCGATCAGCTTCGAAGCTCGTAATACAAAACTGTTTTCTTAATAAATAGGCACAAAAATCAGGATATATATATTGTATATATAACTCTCAATAGGGCAATCCATAGAGCGTAGAAGACTCGGTAGGATTTGGCAGATATTCCGGAAATTTGCTTTTCAACCTCAACCTCAGCAGTTTTGGCAAATTCACAAGGATCTGAATCTAATTTTTTGTCCGATCTACAAACATATTTACAAAGATTAACCTTAACATTTATGATATTCAAGTTTCACACTTTTCGGTAAATTCACCAAACTACGTGAAATTCGAAAACAAGTTGATCAACACTGATTTTCATGTGCGAAGAAATGTAAAGAACTTGTTTGTTTTTGGGTGCGAAAAATGCAGCGTGATGGTCGCAAATGGGAATTTGAACTCTCCACTGGTTGGGTCCGGGCAAAACCGGTTAACGTTATAAAATAAATAATAAAAAGATTGCATTGTTCCAAGACAAACCTAGAAGAAGCCTATGGCATTGGATTACTTCGTAGAACTCATTTGTTTACAAAGCAGCTGTGTAAACTATGCCTATTTACAATAATTATGATATTTCTTTATATATATATATATATATATCTATCAGAATACGAAGAAACCGTTGGATAAACAGTTTCGCTGAACTTAAGAGAATCTCTTTATTAACTGGAAGGAGAAAAAAAGAAATACTTTGGTGCGCGGAGTAGCTAGTGCGAGCTGTTCGTGTCCGATGTTGGTTTCTTGGCCTCCATTGGAAAGTGTGGCCCATGATTATGTTGTTGATTCTTTACGACCAATTCCCCGCTGCTGGAGCAGGTGATGATGCGGGCGGCGCAGCGCAGATATCTGTTCCGGGCGCAGAGCCAATAGGTTTTCGAGCCGCGGCTGTTGTTGCGAAAGTACTCGAAGCCGCCCATCAAAAGCTTGGGCTTGCCCTTGGTGCCCTTGACAATCATGATGCCCTGCTTGCGCACCAGATCTGTAAATATATCGGAAAATTAGAATGCATCAGCTCGATCCGACGGAACTTAACCCTAGACTAAAGTAGCGTGCATTATCCTATGCATAAGGGGGTCGACAATTATTTAGGCTTTAGCAAACAGCATTTATTAAGACTTGAACTCGAACTTGGATCCGTTTTAATCTATTGGATCCACAGGTCCATTCCCATTAGTATTTCAGTCTATGGAGCTCCTGGCCAATCCTCAGCTGCTCCGAAGTCTTCGATTACGAACTCGAACTGAAACGGAAGGAAATTTATAAAGGTTAGTGCGAGTTGTTTATATTTCATGGAAAACGATTTTCACTACTTTTCTGTGAAACCACAAACCTAGGTGGAAGTTAGGTGAATTTCTTTGAAACCACAAACCAAGGTGGAAGATAGGTGAAAGTGGATGAAACCCGATTTTCACTCCTTTCCTGTGAAATCACAAACCTAGGTGGAAGTTAGGTGAATTTCTGTGAAACCACAAGTCTAGGTGGATTTTAGGTGAATTTCTGTGAAACCACAAACTTAGGTGAAAGTTAGGTGAATTTCTGTGAAAGTGGATGAAAATTTTGTAAAAACTTGATTCTTTTCTCTTTCGATAATCCAACTCATTTTGAAAGATCCGCGTGAAAGGTAAATCCACGAATTTTGGTGGAAATTGGAATTAATGCCATAGGATTTAAGTAAGTTTGTCTTATTACTATTAATGTTCTTATATTCACCGGTTTTGCCCGGCTATTTATTAAAAGGTTAACTGTGGAGCGACATTTAGAACTCTGGCTCATGATTGTGCTCCTGATTCTTGATCGCCAATTCCCCGGTGCTGAAGCAGGTCATGATGCGGGCAAAGCAGCGCGGTCGACGACGACGACCCTTGGCACAAACCCAATAGGTTTTGGAGCCTTGAACACATTTGCGGGAGTACTCAAAGCCGTCCATTCGCAGCTTCGGGTTGCCCTTGTTCCCAGTGACAGTCAGGATGCCGCGCTTGCGCCACAGATCTGTAAGATTGCCAGAAAGATTAGATAAGTTAAGATAAAATCAAGTGGAATTTAAAGCTAAACTATAGAAATTAAATGGATAAGGGCGACAGTTGTTTGAGCTTTGCGCAGGGCATTTATTAAGGCTTCCGTTTAAATCTAGGAGACACTTTCACAGCTTCTCGCTTCTCGCTTCCCGCTTCCCGCTTTCCGCTTGTTCGTCTCAGGAATGCGAGTGCTTGGCGTATTTGAGTCTGTAGACCTCCTGGCCGCTCTTCAGCTCGTGCGTGGTCGCTCGCACCTTGCAATTGGCGCTCCGATATCGTGCGCAACGCCAGTTAATGCTGCTCTTCAGCTTTCGATCCATCACGAATTCGTGTTTATCGATCAACAGTTTGCGCTTCTTTTTGCGGGTGCTCGTAAAGTTGGCCAGAAGCATAATATCTGCAATGGGAGAAATTGTAGCGAGATTAGTGCGATAGTTCTTCGAGTTCTTCTAAATTCTACGAGACCATCCCCTTTTGTTGGGGTACAAAGCTTTGTCAGCTGCAAACATTCAATAAACGTTTTATTTTTTTGATTAAAATATTAAGCTGAGACCGTAAAATACACTTTAAAGCATTAAACTTTACAAATATATAAGTATTATAATTTGCATATCATATATATTGAATATATAGACACTTATTTGTGGATTCGAACTGGCAACCTCTTTTTTTGCAGTTCACTGTAGACCTACAATACACTTAAAAGCATTTAACTTTACAAATATATAGGTATTATAATTTGTATATTATATATATAGAGCTATATAGTGACATATAAACAATTGTGGATTCGAACTGGCAACCTCCTTTTTTGCAGTTCACTGGAGACCTTAAATACAGCTGCACATAACTATTATAATTTGTATATCATATATATGGAGTTACATAGTTACACATAAACACTTATTTGTCGATTCGAACTGGCAACCTCTTTTTTTGCAGTTCACTGGAGACCTTAAATACAGCTGCACATAAGTATCACAATTTGTATACATATATGTACATAGAGTTATGTAGTTACATATAAACACTTATTTGTGGATTCGAACTGGCAACCTCTTTTTTTGCAGTCCACTGGAGACATAAAATACACTTAAAAGCATTTTACTCTGCATTGATATGTAGACTATAGACTATATCGACCGAACTTGCGAATAGGCTTGGTTATTCAGCAAAGTCCTAAGATTCGAACCGTCAACCTGCTTTTTGAGCTGCCTTTTGACTTGTATAACTAACTTGGCAGCATTATTGTAAATATTACCAATATTATTTTAATATTCAAATGATGTATATTATTATTATTTTTAAAAAGCCAAACTAGGGTTTGAACCCGCAACCCTTCAAGCGAGTGGGTCACTTGAAGAACTCATCTAACGCTTGATTAATTTGCATTATGTTAAGTAGCATTTTTTTATAGTTTTAAACAATCGATCTAGGTCTCAAATAGCTGCTGGCCGACGGCTCAGTCGAAGTCGGGATTCGAACCCGCAAAAATGTAATTGAAATCAAAATAAATGAGTTGTGCTTTAGAAATCAAATGTGTGGTAGGTACGCCCCATGGTTCTAGGTGCGCCCGCGCAGCACGGCCTTCAGCTTGCGTCCGTATTCCTCCTGCCTGTGATTGTGCTTACAGAAGTGGACAATCCGTCCATTGAGGGTGTGCATCCGTCCGTGGCACTTGAGGACTGTCGTGTATTGAGTGCAGCGCCAATAGGTCTTATTATTGAGTGCCTTCTCGCGGACATAGTGGAAGCCCTCGTGCAGCAGCAGGATGCGGCCCTTCTGGCTGATGACATAGCAAAAGTTGGGCAACTCTGGAATATACACAACGAAAAGGAGACAACTTTAGTTACATTCTAGTCATGGTAATCTGTAAAGCTAATTAGTTTAGTTTGGTTGTAGTTCAGCTATTTCCCATATTCGTACACTTTTTGAACTTTATTCTTAAATGTAGCTAAAGACTACGCCGATCTCTGTCA